CGTAGCGGCCAGGCCGCGTGGGAGGGGCGAGAGACCCCCCTTTCCGGTTTCGTTTTCGTAGCGACTGGTTCGTGTCGCGGTAATTTCTTGGAGTTTTTTTTCCTTTGGCTCGTTCATTCTATTCGAGAGCTCATTATTCGATAAGGCGAGGGCCTATACCCTCCTCATCGATTATATTCTTTGTGGACTAAACCCTTTTAGTTCCACTGCTTTGTTTAAGCAAATAAATCAGCATTAGCGCCTGTTTTCTATTGTATCAGTTCTTCGCCCTCATCTATTCAATTGCGGTGAAGAGCCTTCAACTTAAATTCTATTATCACCAGCTTTTTTTTCTAAAGGAGTTCTGTTGGCCAGTTCTTCAAGATTACGCAATCGTAGACGGTTTCGTAATCCAAGGAACCAAGGCCCCTTCATCGTGTTTCATCATCCATCGTATTTCATCATCGGTCACGAGATATTTTCGTACAGTGTGTAGCCAATCCGGCTATCCTTCCAGAAGTATTTCATCATCGGTCACGAGACATATTGTCATACAGTGTGTAGCCAATCCGGCAGTATTGATTTTCTTTTTTCATACGACCCAGCATTCTTAATTCGAATTGTTCAGGCGCTTATCGGCCTGTTGTCTTTTATCGTGGACCCGAGCCCACGTCTTTCATTGTGGAGTGGGGCACAAAATTCTGTGCGTTTCATCAGACTCGAGTGAGTACCAATACTGCCTTCGTATGGTATATTTAATATTATTCTGCACAGCGCAGAGTCATTAGCGAATATCAAGTTTTTTGATACTGCAGGTTACATCCGTGGGGAACGACGTCGGTCCCAAAAATTGAAGGACAGCTATCCTTCCAGAAGATTCAAAGTGTGGATTAGTGCGAGACGAACTGAGAAGATAATCTCAGCGAGAGTCAGCTAACTCTCAAGTAAGTGAAACAGGCTTTTTCACTCGGTAGAAGGACAGCTATCCTTCAAAATTTTTTTATTCAACAGTGGTCTCTTTCGTTTTAAATACACGATACTACAGCAGTTCGACCGCAGTTTTTTATTTGGAGATTCAGTCATCTCTGAAGTGAGTTGCTACAGTGGCAAAGTATTCAGTTAGGCTGTGTTCATAACAAAAGAATTTGTATCGTGCCGGACGTTTCGTCAAAATTGAAAGGAAGTTATCCTTTTTCTGTCAGGCTTTCTGGAGTCAAGATATTCGAGCAGCTATAGCTAATTCTTGGGTGATTAAAGTTAGTTTAACCCTCTCAACAATCATAATTGATATCATTTACTTGTTTGCTGATTCAAAAATCCTTCCAGTAAAA